AATTATGCACCGTATTACTCATTCATCACTCAAGTGGGAAAATCAGTTACGTTCAATAAACGGCGATGACTTAAGCGATGAATGAGTAATACAATAAATATTTAGTGACTATTAAGATACAATTTTAAATTCAATTATTAAGTAGTAACAATTTCTTCTTCTCTCAAATCAACTTATTTGAAATCAAATTTTCATTTGGAGCACACTTTCAAATATCCAATCCTTCACGGAAATTCCACTTGTCCAATTTCGCAATCTGATTTCATTCCAAAGTGAACAAATAATCCTATCTTTTGCAAAAACTTATGATCCTAAAATTTAAAAAATCTAAGGCCTTGTTCTCTTTATCGTTTTCCAGCCATTTTCTGTTTTTAATTTCTCAAAACAACGAAAACGCATTCTCTATCTTATTTTCGAAAACGCATTTTGAAAAATGAAAAAAAAAAGTATAACTGAAAACGGAAAACAACAAAGACATTGTTTTGTAAAATTTTTGGAAAAACAAGGCAAAATCCAAAAACACGCGACACGGGCCTCAAACCCTCGCTCTCACAAAACACGCTGCTACATCTCTCCCTCTCTCACAACTCTCTCTGTAAATCGAACAACAGCAGCAAAATCACAACCAAATCGAAGGCTACAACGACGGGAGGAAGGGTGCTACACATGATCTTCGAATTTTGGAGAACTTTGTTTCGGTCAAGCCGAATCGCACGCTGCAGCGACGGGTTTCAGTTGTAATCTAGATTTCGCATCTCCAACTCAAGGTTTTTGTTTCTTTGCTTGTAATAATCTGTAGTTATTCGCGAGTATTCAATTTTTGAGTTGTTGGGTCCGATTTGCCGTTTGTTTCTTTATTTGATTGGTGCGAAATTGAGGCGGGTTGGGGAATAGTTAGTAGTCACTGGTGCGGGAGGTGGGGGCGATTGCTGGTGCTGGAGGTGGAGGTGGAGTTGGCGCTGGAGGTGGAGCTGGTGCTGGAGGTCGAGGTGGAGCTGGCGCTGGAAATTTAGGTGGTGCTGGAGGTGGAGGTGGAGGTGGAGGTGGTGCTGGAGGTGGAGGTCGTGCTGGAGGTCGAAATGGAGCTGGAGTGTGGGTGCCTGTGTTCGTGGCTGCCTGTGTGGCTACAATAATACCTTCATAATTGTGTCCTTCGTAGGTACCTGAAGAGCAACCGAAGTGTGGGTTAAATAACTATAGGTTTTGGATAGTTTTCTTGAGGGTGTCGATTCTTGGATTGATATTGAGCTCTGAAACATCCTTTGGTGATCACATCCTTCGCCACTGCCTTTTTTACATAAATTTTGCAGAAGGTTATTTGACAAGATCCCCAAAAACTTCTGCTACATGGCCAATGAATTCTTGAACAATAGTCTGATCCTGTCTCATTTGAATTGTTATGTTGAACGCTGTATATGCATGTGTTTCAAGTTGTAACTTTCTACCTATTTTATAAATGAAACTCTCTTTTTTCGTTAATATTTAATGTACCACAATATTCATGTATTATTTATAAATCGTTGAAAAAATGAAGAGGAAAATACAAAACTTTGAAGAGGGCATACGACCTGACCTCTAATTGATGAAAGAGATAAAGTAATTTAACTAGCCTACATCAATTACAAGTTGAAATAGTTCACATGCCCTTGTCATGCTCCTTATCCATCATGCAAATATTTTCTTAATTTATGATTACTTTCATAGTCACTCTATTCAAAATATACTAGTGGAGTGTAAATATGCAATATATATTAACAATTGTACCCTTTTCAACATAGAAGGCTAAACGTTAGTCCATTTTGTTAATGGCTTCTATATTTTGTTAATTGCACATTGCTCATGAATTTATGATCCGTAGGACATTTTGATGTATTTGTATGTTTGTGACATATGAGTATACATTGTAATTTTATATATTACTGTCACATTTTGTATGTGATAATTTTCTTTATGTTGAATATAGAACATGGGTGGTCACATAGTTAGGAATAAGGAACCAATGTCACAGAGTTAGGAATAAGAACATGGGTTGTGTTTTTAATATCTTGAAAAAGAAACTTACGTTTCACCAATTTTAAATTCTATATGTTATTTAATACTATATTAACATTATACAATTAAAATTTATTGAATACTCATTTTTTTGAATAAAATATTCTTAAAAAATTCTCAAAATTTCAAAGTAAACGCGTTTTCCATTTTTATGTTTTCGGAAACAGTTTTTCAGAATGACAAAGAGAACGCATTTTCAGAAATTTCAAAACAGACACTCAAAACACAAAATACAAAACAAATTCAAAACTCAAAACACAAAACTGAAACACAAAGAGAACGGCACCTAATCTTTTGTAGAAATTTCAACCACCACTTTCAAAAAAATCGTCTTTCTTTGAAAAATTCTGAATTTTTTTTTTTTTTTTTTTTTTTTTTTTGTGGAAAAATGAGACACCTCACTAGGGAAAATTTAACATTTTGAAGAAATTTGTGATACCCAATTCTAAAAAGTTTTACCTTTCTTCGATATATTATAGACATGATCTTCAGTTTCCTCTTTTATCCTTTCATTTTCTTTGATTTCTTTTTTCCTAGTGGTCAATTTGAGGGAAGATTCAGGGGCGGACCCAGGGGAGTCCATGCCCCAACTTTTGAGTTTTTCTTTTTAAGTATATATATATATACTCATGTTTGGTATCAAATATAAATTTTAATGTAAATCAAAGTTAACAATTAATTTTAATAACATATTTTATGGAATTCCATAATTATTTAACTTTTATCAAAATTTACTAAAAATTTGATTTTAATCTCCATCGAATAGGGGAAAAAACACAATAAATTTTAATTTTTCTTTTTTTTTTCCTCTCGTCTTTTAACAAAATCTTAACTATTCATTAAACAATGACGAAATATTACATTCTTAATACCATTTCGAAGTGTTCACAGTCTAGTTTTCTACGTCGTTAATAGACGAAACTATCAATCGTAGCAAAAACTACGACTTATCAAAGTAGGCAGTCCAAAATTAGTATTTCGAAAATTTCGATAATATGCTAACTTTAAAAATTCTTCGACGGTTGTACGCTAATCAAATTTACAAATTACTTATGTCTTCTAAAAGTTTATTTCGAGAACTACATTATAGGCATATCAAATAATTCAAATAGATATCGAAAATAATTAAAAATACATTAAACGTGAGTTTTAAAGAAAGACGTTTAACTCGCATTTTCTTTAAAAAAATTCAATTATTTCATTAACATTTATTATTTTTGCAATACCAATTTCTCAATATAATTTTCATCATTTTATTAGAAAATTTTATATAGAATATGACATAATTTCTTTTTTGAAATTTTACATTTGAAAAAGTCACATCTCATGTAAATTTTCAGATGCAAAATTACGTGGGATATGATTTTTTGGGACGTAAATTTTCGATCGTAAAATTTTTTCCAATTTCTTTGCAAGTTCGATTGTGCCCCCAACTTTAAACTTCTACGTCCGCCCATGAGGAAGAAGAATTAATTACTATTTAATAACTGAATTTAAAATTGTATATTAATAGTAACTGAACTGTGTCAGTTATTACTACTTAATAACTGAATTTACAATGGTATTTCAATTGCCACTGACCTATGAACCGCATTACTCATCTATCGCTCAAGTTGACATCGTTTATTGAAATTAACAATTTTTTTTCACTTGAGTGATGAATGAATAATATTATTAAGTAGTAATACTAGGTGTATTTTAGGGGGTGTTTGAGCCTCCATTTTTTTTTTGAAAAATGTATTTTGGAATAGTAGATTGATGGAGGATGTATGATTAAAATAGAAAATTTTTGGTTTACGTGTAATATTTTTTTAATGAAAAAATGTGTGGTTAAAAAGAAGATAAAAAAATGTATTTTTCAAAATAAAAATCAAACAAATCCTTAATAATAACAAATAATTAACCGATTTAAGCCCTTGTTTGCCCCCCATTATATCTCATTACATTACATTAAATTTTTCTCTCTCTTCATCTCAACCATACATTCATCAAATAAAATAATAATACACACAAATCTAAAACTTTTCAACCACACATCTCCCATCAATCACTATTCTAAAAATTTAGAAGATAAAAAAATGTATTTTTCAAAATAAAAATCAAACAAATCCTTAATAATAACAAATAATTAACCGAATTAAGCCCTTGTTTGCCCCCCATTATATCTCATTACATTACATTAAATTTTTCTCTCTCTTCATCTTAACCATACATTCATCAAATAAAATAATAATACACACAAATCTAAAACTTTTCAATCACACATCTCTCATCAATTACTATTCTAAAAATTTTCAACCCCTTAAAAATCTACAATAATGGGGGCCAAACAGGGGCTTAAAGCACCATCTTTTTCTCGGACTACGTCTGTTTACCTTCTGCCAAAATTTCATCCTGTTTTTAGGTGCTCGTTTTTACTCTGCATTTCTCACTTCATCAATACGATCCAACACAGACCCACATTACATGATCCTCACCAGCGTCGCCCTCACCAAATCGTCCAAAACCCATTTCTCATCTGCAGGTAAAAAACTCTCTCGTTTTCTCTATGACCTATGGACAACAGTTTTGTAACTTCAACAGTGTCACTTGGAACAAGGGTGTCACTCTCATTTTCATTCGGTGATTACACATACTACTCGAATGAAAGATTGGGCAGGTACCCACGTGCATATTCATCACCTTCGTCATCAAGAACATATTGTACTAGTTTATCTAATTCGGTATATAAAGTGCCCTTAAGCCCAAGCTGTAATTGTAATTTATATGGGTTAAGGCAATCCACTTTAAATCAGTGGTTTCCTCGTAAAAAAAAATGATCTTTGGAGGTTTTGACCGTTATTATATTCGGGTACCTCTTTGCGACGTTTATAGAAGCTGTTATTGTGATAAAGTGTGTCATGTTAGGGATAGATGTGTGGTTGGGAGAAGAGTGGTTGAGAAAATGTATGGTTTCTAAGGAAGGGAGCAAAAGATGTAGTTTTGGAGGTGCTGACGAGGCCGAGGTATTGGGTAATTTGTTGACTGAGGAATTAGGTGGGCAGTGTTCTGATGTAAGAGAGGAGAATAGAAGACTAATCAAGAAGATAGTAGTGGAAAAAAAAGGAAATGGTGATACTAGTAATCGGTGTAAGAGTAAGATGAAAAGAGTTAATTTGGTTGTTCCCAAGAGTGAGTCCAAGTTTGAGCATGAATCAGTGGTTTTTAGGTCCAGGGAGGGGGATAAGAGGAGGAGAGAGGAAAGGATCGGGAGGGAAAAAGACAGAGAAGATCTACTGAGGAAAAAAAGTTGAATGTGCGGAAAAAGGAAGAAGAAAGGGAAGCTTTCTTGAGAAAAGAGAATGGAAATGCTAGGGCAAAGGAAGAAGAGGGGGAAACTTTGTTGAGAAAAGAGAACTGGAAGGTGATGGTGGGAGAGGAAGAGAGAGATGATTTGCTCAGAAGAGAGGAACACGGGGAGAGGATGAGGATAGATGGTTCTAGTTGCTCTTCATACTATTCCGTATCTTCGACTGGTGAGTACAACAGTGATGATGAAATTGAGGGTACAGGAGAGGTTGGGGTAGAATTGTCAAATGTGTATGAGAAGGATTCAGAAAGGAGTGACAAAATCGTCAGTGAGGAAGTTGGGAAAGAGGAGTACAGTATTGGCTTGAGAAAGAAAAGTACTGAAATAGGTATGCGTGCTGGATCTAGTGGTGTTGAGTCTGACTTCAGAAAGAAATCAGAGAAAAAGCTTACTGATTTATTCATTGAAGAGACAGTCTAGAAAGGGAACCTTGCTAAAGGATTCAAGCATTATGGAGGTTCGTGAAAGTGGTTATGGAAAAACTTCTGGTTCCTACAAGAATTATGACGATAGGAATATAAAATCAACTTCTGGTCTGAACTCTGAAGTTTGATGAGGAAGGAAGACAACAGCAGAGGCAAACAGGTAATGAAGCCATGGAACAGTCTGAGACAAGGATAAAGCATAAACAATTTTCGGAAATGCCTGAGAACCGTGATGACCAAGTTGTAACCACTTACGGCTCTCAAAAGCTTTACAGTGGCAGGGAGGAAAATACTACTAAAGTTACTAGTTTTGAGTTCAGAAGCAAAAAGAGAACATCGAACAGTGGTTGGACTTGGTATCAGAGAAGATGAATATTTGAGGAATACTCATAAAGTTGGTGAAGTATCAAAACTTCGAGGGATTGATGTCAGGAAGACCTCCATATCTCAGCAGCTGTCTGAGACTAGAATGAAGAAAGTGGAAGGATATTCAACTGACGTCATTACTTATGCTGCAGAAAAGAATCAACAACATGAACAGTTTACCACTTTGGTAGACGAAAAAGGAAACTCGACAAAGAAAGGAAGCAGTTCTATTTCACAGATTCAGTCAGATAGTAGGATTATAAAACAAGAAGAAAATGTGAATTTAGCTTATGGCTCGTATATAGAATCCAAAGAGCAACACTTTCAAACACATGAAGAACGCTTCAGAAGAACGGATGTCAGAATTGGAACACAACAAATGACTAATGAAACAGCCACTCATTCTGGTGGTTTAATTGGTGCAACAGATGGAAACAAGACAAGATCAGAGACACTAGTTACACCTCCATCTTATCAATTAGCAGCAAGAGGTGAATTGCACGTTGAACCAACAAGTGTGCTTGCGATTGAGGAGGTGAATGATGGGAGTACAGAAAGTGGCTCTACTGCATTGCATAAACTTGTCCTGGGGAGGTCTCCAGCGTTGCATCATGAAAAATATGGAAGCGCCAAGAGTGTTGAAGCTCATGAACAGCCTTTTAAGTTCATCTCCAGTGAAGTTGCAATTGGGTCAGCCGAGCAATTACAGAAATCTTCTGCACACTATGTTGGTGAGTTTGTTGAGAAGGTAAGGCATGAAATTTCAACTTCTGAAATCCACGAGGAGAAGAAAAATTTTAAATCTAAGTTTGTGCACGAGGAGGAGCAAAGTAACCGAAAGGATTTGAGTCAGTATGTGTCTGGAGAGTCTGATTCAAAGGAGCATCACTCAAGGCATTCCTCTAGTAGTTCTAAAACAAAAGGGCCATCAGATCAAACATGGGAGGTTGATGAACAATCTGTTCAGGAGCATTCCAAGACAGAAGTACAGGATAATACAAGCAAAGCAGAGAATGCTATTGTCAAGAGAACTGGCAGGTCCTTCTGGAATATCATTGGTGATATTATTCGTCTGAAGTGGTCTACACGTTCTGAAAGCCATAGCACAGGTGGAAAGGCAGGTGGTGTTTCATCCAATCAATCTACAAGTAGTGATGCATGGTTTTCTGGTCATGAAGCTGAAGAAGATGGAGTGAGTGGAAGAAAAGAATGACTCAAGAACCTGCATCTATCCACCAAAAACAAGACAAATCTAGAATTCAGAGTAAAGAAGATGGTTTCAGGACCTCAACTGTAGAGGCCTATGCAATGGATGTAGGAGTGGATAATATATCCTCTTCGAATGTCCTGGAAAGTGGTTCAGCATCTATGACCATTTCTTTGCCTTCTGGTGAAGAAACTTCCAAAAGAAACTTTGAAGGTTCCTTCTCTGGTGCTCCAATAGCTGAGTCCTTAATGCTGTTGCCTGCAATGCGTCTCCGAAGATCTCCCATTGTGAAGAGAAATCTCTGAGGCTGCAGAAGCTGGTTCATCTGGTAGTGACACGAGTGGGCTAACAGTTTCCACTGATTTGGCGGAATCAAGGCCTGAGGTTAATGAGAAATTGAAGCAACGGAAACTTCAGAGGAAAGACCAAATCCCGCAAGATAGATTTGATGAGTGGGAAGAAGCATATAGAGTCAAAGCAGAGCAGCAAAAAATCGATGAAATGTTTATGAGGGAAGCACTGTTGGAAGCCAAATAAGCTGCTGACAACTGGGAGGTGCCTGTTGGGGCTGTGCTGGTGCACAGTGGAAAGATAATTGCTCGTGGATGCAACCTGTAAGTTGTGCTTTCTTATGCTTTTTTGCTGATTTGTTTGTTGAAGGCAATTGATTGACTTCTCTGTAATTGCAAATATTTCAGAGTAGAAGAATTACGTGACTCCACTGCCCACGCGGAAATGATCTGCATACGGGAGGCTTCAAACATGCTCCAGACATGGAGGCTTTCAGTAATTTCTTTGTCTTTATCAATTTAACTGAATCTTTCTACTTAAACCTAGTATAGTGTCCTCAACTTTTTTTGCTAAAAGCCCCAAATCATCGATAATACTATAGTATCTTATCTGGTATGAGTCTAATAGAGTAGCAACAAGCACCAGATTTTTTATTCCTTTGGTTTCTCGAAAGATTGGAAAAGTTGTTGGAAGATAATGTGATCTAAGTTGTATCTTGTTAAAGGCATAAATGATATGTTTGATGCAACACATTATAAATCTCTAGAAACTGGGTGACTACCGTGCTCTTGACATGTCTACTGTTTTGTATGGTATGTAGATTATGCGAACAATGTAGCAAGGCCATCTAGAGTACCTGAATTTCCTCTTTTGAAGGAAACTACACTTTATGTAACTCTTGAGCCATGTCCAATGTGCGCTGGAGCAATATATCAAGCTAGAATTGACACTGTTGTGTGGGGAGCCCCCAATAAGCTACTAGGAGCTGATGGCAGCTGGATTAGATAACCAGTTTAACTATGATTTTTCAATTGTTAATTTTAAGAAAATCATGATTCTGTTATTGAATCTTTTCACACATTTAGTTTAATATGGCAATTAGTTGTTTCAAAGACACCTGAAATTTTGGTCGTCTCTTATTCCATGAAGCTAGTTTATCTCTTTCTCTTATTTATTCCAGCAAAAGACACAAATGAGATATATAAAAAGTTGATTTTAATTGCATTGCTCCTGTAATAAGGCCATATCATAAATTCCTGTATCATTTTTCGATGCTATTTGAAAATGAATGAAATAGTACTTTGTGTAGTAGGCAGCTTATAGCTCTCTTCATGACACGATTGAAATCATATATTGCCCCTTCTGCCCTTCCAAATTTCTCTATTTTCCAAAAGCATCTTATTTTGCACGCCAAAAGAGAGAGAAACATGAAAATATGAATTCACTAAATATATTTGCGAGCCTTGTGCATAATTCTTTACTTTTCCATTAATGCCTTTATTTTGAAGCACTAGATGACTTGATTTTGCAATATTATTATGCAACTACAAGATCATTAACCACAGAAGGAAATTTTGTTCTTTCACACTATCCATTCAATATTCATTTTGTACTGTAACTCCGGCTAAAAGCTAAACGAGTTTCCCTGCATAGTCTTAACTCTTCCTCTAATCTGCGTATCTTAAGTCCTGTGTACACAATCATTTTTCTTCTACCCGTTTTATGCCTGATTTTTTATTTCTTTTGTAAATTGAATTAAGATTCACTTGTAAATTACTATAGCACCCAGTTCTTAATTTTACTATTAGCTCTTTTGATTCGAGATATAGGTTTGTATGTGTTATTTTTTGAGGAGAAAAGTCATTCTGCTTTATTTCCTTAGGTCTTCATATATACATATACAAAGTAACTTATACTATGTCCATGAAGGTCCCTATAGATAAGACTATATAAACTATGTAGTCTGTAACACCCCCCCTCAATTTGGAGCATAGATGTTTATCATGTTCAATTTGTTACAAAGATAATTAACCAGAACCCCATTTAGAGCCTTTGTGAAGATGTCTCCCAATTGTTCTCCTGTTTTCACATATCCTGTAGAAACCAAACCTTGATGAATCTTCTTACGAATGAAATGACAATCAATTTCGACGTGTTTTGTTTGTTCGTGAAAGATTAGATTAGATGCAATGTGAAGTGCAACTTGGTTATCATACCATAACTTAGCTAGTATTAAAATTATAAGACCCACTTCAGTGAGGAGTTGATGTATCCACATTATTTCACACACAGACTTAGTCATAGCCCTATATTCTGATTCTGCACTCGAACGTGAAACCACACTCTGCTTCTTGCTTTTCCATGAAACCAAATTTCCTCCAACAAATACACAATAGCCGGATGTAGATCTTCGATCTTCCTTGGACCCTGCCCAGTCAGCATCTGAAAAACATTCAATCCTAGTATGACCATGGTTGCCATACAGAATTCCTCTCCTAGGCGCTCCTTTTAAGTAACATAAAATTTGTTCTACAGCTCTCTAATGATTGACAGTTGGGGAAGACATATACTGACTTATCACACTAACTGAATAGGCAATATCTGGATGAGTCACAATAAGATAGTTCAGCTTCCCAATCAATTTTCTATCTCTCTCAGGATCTTCAAACAATTCTGTAGAAATCCCGTTTAATATGGGAATCTTGTAATATATTCTATATGTGGTAATTAGATTTGAGTTAGGGTATAATTAGTTCTCTTCCTTTAGTTAGGAGATTGTTTTTCCTTTTTTACTCATTCTACTGTAGTATATATTGAGTCAAGGTGTGTAATACCGAATTAATTCAATATAATCAATCTTTCATTATTTTCTACATGGTATCAGAGCTCGGGTAACTCAAACCCGACCATCAATGGCAGAAACCACTGCCGACAGTCAGAAATCGGCGTCCTCTGAATCCGGAACCTGTGAGACCGGATCCATTCACACCATGACCTCAATCGGAGTTGATAATTCATCTTTTCAACTCTCTGTCGAGAAACTTAATGGCCGAAATTATAGAGAATGGGCCCAATCCATTAAACTAGTGGTCGAAGGGAAAGGAAGAATTGGGTACCTCACCGGTGACGCGAAGCAGCCCGCAGATCCAGCTCTTCTACAAAAATGGAAAGCTGAAAACTCCTTGGTAATGTCATGGCTCGTCAACTCCATGGTGCCTTCAATCAGTAAAATCTATCTCTTCATGGCGACCGCAAAGGATATATGGGACAGTGCTCGAGAGATGTACTCCGACACGGAGGATTCGTCACAAATATTTGAAATTAAAACCAAACTCTGGAAGGCAAAGCAAGGAGAACGCAGCGTCACAGAGTATTACATGGAGATGTCTTCTCTATGGCAGGAATTGGACCTGAGTGTGGATGAGTTGGAGATGTCTTCTCTATGGCAGGAAGTGGACCTGAGTGTGGATGAGCAGTGGGATCGCCCTAGTGATGGGGTACGGTACAAGAACAGGGTCGAGAAAGAGAGGCTGTACGAGTTCTTGGCTGGGCTGGACAGAGATCTCGACGACGTCAGAGGAAGGATCCTCAGTCGCCGACCACTGCCCTCCACACGCGACGCCTTCGCTGATGTTCGACGAGAGGAGAACCGCCGATCGATTATGTTGAAGAAGCAGGCAGCTGGGTCTGAGGAAAATGGGTCGGCCCTATTATCTAAGTATGGTGGGCCTGCTGGGTCAAATGAAACTGGGCCTAAAGGAGGTTTTAATAAATTTGGGAAGAATTTAAATAATGGGCCTAAATCTTTAGGGCCTGATTTGGGAGCCCAAATGCTACGAGGTTCAAAAAATTTTGGACCCAGCCCAAGACAACAAATGGGTCGACCATGGTGCGATCACTGTCTTAGGGCCTGATTTGGGAGCCCAAATGCTACGAGGTTCAAAAAATTTTGGACCCAGCCCAAGACAACAATTGGGTCGACCATGGTGCGATCACTGTCGGAAACCTGGACATAAAGAGGACACGTGTTGGGATTTGCATGGAAAACCATCCGATTGGAAACCACGACAAAACATCAAAAACTCTGTCTACCAGGCTGCAGCCAATTCATCTGAAACACAGACGTCCACTTCCGACAATGCATTTAGTCCCGCACAGCTGGAACAACTTCAAAAATTATTCTTGAACTTTCAATCATCTGGTCCTTCCAGTTCCTTAGCTCACAGAGGTAATATCCCGACATGCCTTAACACCACCTTACTCTCAAAAATACCTTGGATTGTTGATTCTGGTGCGTCCGATCACATGACGGATTCACACCACCTATTTGTGTCATATTCACCTTGTGCTGGTAACTTTAAAGTTAAAATTGCAGATGGCTCTCTATCTCCAGTGGCTGGAAAAGGGAGCATTCAAATCTCCAATTTAATTACACTCGAAAATGTTCTACATGTTCCAAATCTATCCTGTAATTTATTATCCGTCAGTCAGCTAACAAAGAGTTCACATTGCTCCGCTAATTTCTTTCCTTCCTATTGTGTTTTTCAGGACCTATCATCGGGGAAGACGATTGGCAGTGCTAAAGAGTGTGAGGGACTCTACTACTTTGACGAGACTACTGTGAGTCCACAACGTCGATTTGCTAGTTGTGATTCTGTTTTTGTTCCTAAGATTAATGAACTTCTGTTATGGCATTATCGAATGGGTCATCCCAATTTTCAATATTTAAGACATGTATTTCCTTCACAATTTTCGAATAAAACATTTTTCGATGTGAACTGTGACATTTGTGAACTTGTAAAACACCACCGTTCGTCATTCAAAAAATCCGTGTATAAACCGTCTAGACCATTCACCTTAATACACAGTGACCTATGGGGGCCTTCTCGAACTCCTAATCGTACCCACACAAAATGGTTCGTCACATTTATCGACGACCATACTCGAATCTGTTGGGTGTGTATGCTCAAAGACAAAATTGACGTCCGCTCTGTGTTCATGAATTTCCACTCAATGATCCAAACTCAATTTCACACTAAGATTCAAATTTTGCGTACAGACAATGGCACAGAGTATTTCAATAGTACACTCCGAACCTATCTCCAGGAAAATGGAATAATCCACCAAAGTTCTTGCGTTCACACTCCCCAACAAAATGGGGTTGCCGAACGAAAAAATAGACACTTACTTGAGGTGGCTCGGGCCCTACTGTTCACCACAAATATGCGCAACACATTTTGGGGAGACGCTATCCTTACTGCAGCCTACCTCATAAATAGAATGCCTAGTCGCATTCTCAACTTTGAAACTCCCCTCCAAAAATTCCAGGAATTCTTTCCTAATACTCGCCTCACTTCCGACCTACCTCTTAAAGTGTTTGGTTGTACGGCATTTGTCCACATTCATTCTCATCTCCGTACCAAACTCGAACCCCGAGCAATTAAATGTGTATTCATTGGTTACTCTCCTACACAAAAGGGGTATAAATGCTATGACCCTATCACAAAGAAAATATTTCTCAGCCTTGATGTCACTTTCTTCGAAAATGAACCCTACTTCCAAAAAACCTCTCTTCAGGGGGAGATTCTAAGTGAAAGTGAAGATCGGTCCTTGACTATACCTCTTGACCTTGGTCCCTCCTCCAACTTCATCCCAAACACTGGATCTAACATGCCATTTACAGAAGACAACTTAAACTCAGGGGGAGAACAGAAAGAACAACACAACAAAGAGATGATTGTTTACTCAAGGACGCCGAAATCAAAGGACAAGGAGAAACTCACACTCGCAGCACCAAGAGAGTCAGAACCAGTGATAGCTCTAGATACTCATGAGCTT